TAATATTAGTAGTATTAGTATTCGTAGTCTTCTTCTCATGATTCGTAGTATTAAGATTCGTGATCGTATTAGCTTTCTTCTTCCCCGTCTTCTGCTTATTCTTCTAATGAGTAATAAAATTCGTTATAGCATAGGTCATCTTAGCCTTCTTATACTTATTCCTCCTCCTCCTCCTCCTCCTCCTCCTCCTCCTCCGTCTCCCTGCCATTCCTCCTTATCCTCGTCCTCCTCCTCCTCCTCCTCCTCCTCCTCCTCCTCCTCCTCCTCCTCCCTGCCCCCTAGTCCTCCTCCTCCTCCTCCTTCTCATCCTCTTCTTATTGTTATCAGCCTTCGTATTAGTATTATTAGCACTGTCCTTCTTAGCAGATTGCTTCGTATTTGGGTAACTACCAAGCAATCGGGACCGAACCCACCGCGTCCCCCGACGGTGGTCAGAGTTGGCTGCATCATGTGTCACGGTGTTGCTGTCCTGTAATGCTTTCGGCTGGCGCGCATATTTACGCTTTCGTCGCGCAGCGATGCAACAAATGTTGCGTTATGTTGCACGTCTGGCAAGTGCGTACCCAATTATTTGCGACTAGCGCGCCTCCCGCACACTTGTGATGAAGTCGGTTTTGCAGAATGTCTGCAGCGCCGCGCGTGTCTCGCCCAAGGTCGGGGCTGACGGTGAAGGCACGTCTCACGCTAGGTTCAAAGGGTGCGCGCTGCAAGGTTGGCATGACTGACATTACCGGCCGTCCAAACGCAAGACTCGTCTTCTTTCAGGGCGCAGTTCCACGCAGTCATAGAATAGCGCCACGACGAGCCCCACACAGACTCACATACTTATTTTTGCGAAGAGGCAGACCCTTTCAGAACGCAGCGCGCATGCAACACTAACCAGCACATCGAGCCCGAATGCGAAGTGCGCCGCAAAAACCTTCTGTGCACCCCCCTTGGAGGCCACGAACAAACCGTGTGAAGACTGTACTGACATGGTCCGGGCGGCGGCGCGCGGCTTGTGCTACAATGGCCGGCGGTGGAGCTCCCTATGATGCCACGAACCGAATGAAGAAAGGACTGAAATGGTCTCGGCGGCGGCAAGCGGCCTGTGTTTCAAAACCTTTCGTGGCGTTCCCTATGGGGTGTCAGGGCGTGCTGACATGGCCCAGACAACGAAAAGTTGCCTGCGCTACAAGGGCCTTCGGCGGGGTTCCGTATGGGACCACGATTACAAGAGCTAAACCATGAAATGGACTGGGCAGCGGCGTGCGGCCTGTGCTGGAACGACAAATTTCGGTCGAGCTCCCTGCGGGGCAACGAACAGTGTGAGGGGGTGCTGGAGTGGATTGGGCGGTGCCAAGCGGCCTGTGCGACAAAAGTCATCTGCGTTGCATCCTGTGGAGCCACGAGCCGCGTGAGAACGCGCTGCTATGCTCTCGGCGACGGCGCGCGGCGTGTGCAACAGCAACCTCCCGCGTTGACCTCAATAAAACCACGATACGCGCGATAATTGATTTGACCATGTATGGTCGGAAGCACTGCGCACTAACAAAAATCTTCGGCCGAACTTCCCATGGTGCCACGAATCGTGCGAATACAGAACTGAAGCGGTCTGGGCGGCGGCATGCGGCCTATGCCCAAAAAACCTTCGGCAGGATTCCCTTCGGGGCCACGAGCGGGGCGAAGCAAGACCTTCAGTGGACTAGGCGGCGGCAGGCGGCCCGTGTTGCAAGGGCCCTCGGTGGAACTTCTAATGGGGCCACGAACTGTTTGAGGGGGGCGCTTAAGTTGTCTGGGCGGCGGCAAGCGGCCCGATCTGCAAAAGACTTCGGCGTAGCATCCTATGGGGCCACGAACCGAACGAAGGGTGTGCTGACATGGTTTGGGCGGCGGCACGCATCCTTTGCTGCGAGAATCTTCGGTGTCACCGTCTTATGGGGCCGCGAACCGTGTGGGGTGCGTGCTGAATTGGCATCGGGCAGCGGAAAGCGGCCTGTTCGACGGAAGCCTTCGGCGGGGCCCTATAGGGCCACGAATCGTTCAGACGGCGTGCCGAAACTGCATTGGCGGAGACAAAGCAAAGATCCACCATGCAAAAAAAATGATATATGAAGAGGAGCTGAAGCGACTTGGGGTAGGAGGCGGCGGTAGAGGGGGGGAAGACAGAAGAGGAGGCGTTCAGCGCTGCGGGCTCACAACGAGGACCCAACAGACACGAGAATTAGAACAAAACGACGGCCTCCAAGAGCTCCATCACACTAATCTTCCGATGGCTCACATGCCTCCGCGTCGCCTCCAAGGCAGGCGAAGGACGGCTCGAAGACAAACCGAGTTCGCGGCAACGCAATCCCAAGCCTTCCATTGATCTCCCATGGGGCACCAGGGAGTCGCCAAGATGCCCCCGAGAAAAAAAAACACAACATCCTGATACGGCACTGATGCAAGACATCAAGACAGCTACAGGACGGCCCGCTGCAGGTCCCGCTCAGGCTCCATCAGCTCATTTTCGCACACCCAGTGTCACAATCTGGAGGCAGCATCGGTTGACTCCCCCGCCCATGCCCCCAACGACACGACAACTCTGGGACCCAGAGAGCGCTTTGGATCCCCAGTCGCAACGGACTCGAGGGCCCTGGGGGGCCACGCCGAGCCCGCGCCAGGCCCCTCCGGACATGTCAAAAACCACTGCCGAGGGGAGTCCGAACCCACCGCTGCGGGAGCGCCCATGGGGGCCGCGGTGGGTTCGGACTCCCCTCGGCAGTCCTCCCAGACGTGTAAAAAAACTATGCCGAGGGGAGTCCGGACCCACCGCGGGGGGGGGAGTCCGGACCCACCGCGGGCCCATGGGAGCCCTCGCGGAGCCTTCCATGGGCTTCCCCGCAAAGCCCTCTGCCCCCCCCCTGCCCTGCCCGCCGCCCCCGTTTCTGCCCCTCGTCCCCCCTCGTTTCTGCTCCTACGCCCCCCTCGTCGATCCTGCCTCCAATGCCGTCCGCCCACGCACTGTGCCAGCTCCGAGTCGCACCAAAATATATTGCAACTGTGAAACACTGCTCGCCCACATGCTAAAAAAATGCTCTGAATGCCCCTCATGGGAGGCGCCCCTCGCCCGCGTCATCCTTCAAATAATTAGTGACCCCGCCATCGATCGTCCTCATCATGCTGGTCCGTCTTTACGATGTTTCCCTTCTGCCCCTCCAATACAGAGTGAACCTGGCGAAAGAGCCAACACTTTCTGAACGCAGCGCGAAAATAGACAAGACCGCCCGACACGCGCGAACACAATGAGTCCGCATGCGAAATTTACCACAAGGGCCTCCTGTGGGGCTCCCCATGAAGCCACCAAGCGTGTGAAGACTGCGCTTAAATGGTCTGGGCGGCGGCAAACAACCTGCGCCACAAAACCCTTCGCTAGAACTCCCAATGGGCCCACGAATCGCGCCAGACAACACTGAATTGGCTTGGGGCGGCGGCTTGCGGCCTGTGTTCCACATTTGGCAACAAAACACGTTGGCCGCGTGCTGAAATGGTCTGGACGGCGCAATGCGGCATGTGCCACAAACGCTTTCGGCAGAGTTCCCTACGGGGCCACGAACCGTGAGGAGTGTGTGCTAAATGGTCTGTGTGGCGGCGTGCGGTTTGCGCCTGACGACCCTTCAGTGGAGTTTCCTCATGCGGCCGCGGATCGCGCGAAGACTGTTGACATGGCCCGGGCGGCGACGTGCGGCCTGTGCCACCAGCGTTTTCGGCAAAACCCCTCATGTTGCCACGGAGCGCATGGCTGGCGTTTTAAAAGAGTGTGAGCGGCAGCGCGCGCCCTGCGCTGCAAACGACGCCTTCGATGGGGTTTCGTATGATTGGGCGCCGAACCGTTCGATGGGCGTGCTGCAGCGGTCTGCGCGGTGGCATGCGTCCTGCGCAACATCAATACATGTGGTACAGCTCCGCGGGGGTCCGCGAACCGTACATTGAGTGAACTAAAACGGTCTGGGCGGTGGCAAACGGCCTATCCCACAAAGCATTCGGTGGCAGTCCCTATGGGGACACGAATGGCGTGGCGGGCGCGCTGAAATGGCCCGGACGCGGCTCGCGGCCTGCGCCACAGGGGCCTTCAATGGAGCTCCAAATTTATGGAGACGCAAACCGCGAGAGAAACGGCCCTCAAAGAGTCTGGGCGGCGGCGTGCGGCCTGTGCTCTGTGGGATCTCGGTTAAGCTCCTTATGAGGCAACCGACCTTGTGAAAATGGTTCTGGAATGGTCGGCGAGGCGGCGCGCGACCACAACGCGTCGGCAAGGATGCGCACGGGGCCTGAACGCGTGCTAGACTTGTTGCGGCATCAGTATACGATTTACACCACAGGGACTTTCAATGAAAAGCCGCATGGGGACAACGAACAGCGCGCGGCGCGAAGGGCGTGCTGGAATTGCCTCGGCGCGGCTACAAACCGAAAGCCCACCGCGCAAGAAGGAAGGGGATGGACGATGAGGAAACGAAGCGGGGAGGAACAATATCAGGAGGAGGACGAGGAGAGGGGGGGAGAGTAGAGGAGAAAGGATATGGCGCGAAGCGCCGCGAATTCAAAGCGAGGGCCGAAAATGCGGGAGGGCAGGGAACGCAAGCAAATAGACATCGAAGGTAACCCGCGGCAAGCGCGCGCCGCGCGCGCGCCAAGCAAACCGGCGGGGCGCCAGGCACGCGAGGCACAGTGGCCACACCGGGCACATTGCACGCGCAAAACGACAATCACAAAAATACAAGCCGCGCCGAGCACATAGCGGGATCACCCGCCAACGCGCCCGCGCGATGCTCGCACCGCCTCGCGCTGCAAGGAATCCCCGATCAGCGCCGAACCATCGCGAGGCCTCCAAAGGCACACCGCACTAAATGTTTAAATGGACAGCAGTGTTTGTTCGGAACGGGACCAGGCCCTGAGGGGCGAGCGCGGACCTGCAATTCCCTGTCTGGCGACGCCGGCAATGAGAGCCGCCAAGCTCGCGCGCGCTATAACCATCGACGGAATCACCAGCCTCAAGCGCTGCGGACGCGCTGGCATACGTCGGTTCATCTCGCTTCTGCCCGCGCCCAACAAGGAACTCAACGCGCGCCCGTCCATGGGCTGCCGCGGACCGCAGCCCTCGACGCTCTCCAGAGGCGCGGTGGGTTCGGTCCCGATTGGCTGGTAAGCATTGAGTATTCGCATGTGCCTCATTATTAGTAGTATCGTTGTTATGTTCTGAATATGCGTATTATTATGCTGTGTATCATTATAAGTTTTATGATTATTGTTAGTATTATGAATAGTATTCCTCCTCCTCCTCCTCACCTCCTCCTGCTTATCCTCCTCCTCATCCTCCTCCGCCTCCTCCTCATCCTCCTCCCCATCCGTCTCCCTGCCCCTCCTCCTCCTGCTCCTCCTCCTCCTTCTCCTCATCCTCCTCCTCCACCGTCTCCCTGCCACCTAGTCCTCCTCAGCATGTTCCTGCTCCTCTTCTTCGTCTTATGATTATTATTAGTAGTATTAGTATGCGTAGTCTGCTTCTCATGATTCGTAGTATTAAGATTCGTGATCGTATTAGCTTTCTTCTTCCCCGTCTTCTGTTTATTCTTCTGATGAGTAATAAAATTCTTAATAGTATAGGTCATATTAGCCTTCTTATAATTATTCCTCCTCCTCATCCTCCTCCTCCTCCTCCTCCGTCTCCCTACCATTCCTCCTTATCCTCGTCCTCCTCCTCCTCCTCCTCCTCCTCCTCCTCCTCCTCCTCCTCCTCCTCCTCCTCCTCCTCCTCCTCCTCCTCCTATGCTTCCCTGCCCCCTAGTCCTCCTCCTCCTCCTCCTCCTCCAGCTCCTTCTCATCGTCCCCCCTCCCCTCCTCCTCCCCTCGAAGAGCACCAGGAGCCGAGGGCGCGGCGCGCTGCACCAGCTCCCGGCGCAGGTGGACGTCCACGCTGGTGCGGAGCGCGAAAGTCAGCTTGTCGACCTGCGCGGGGAGGCGGCGGCGCAGGGCGTCGTTGGAGGGCTCCCGGATGGGGTCCGAATACATTGCGTCGGAGGATCGCTCCGCACCGCCGATGCACCAGCGACGTCGACGATGCACAGCTCGCCATCGCTCGGACGTCCATTCCCTGTGTTTTTTCAGTGTCGTGCGTGGCTTGTCGCCAAATGATCAAGGATGCTCCTCGATGGTTCTCGCCGAAGGAAAAATGCACAAGTCCGAGCGATGCCAAGATAGGTGACGTCGGCGTGGAGAACATCGGACTCTCCATCGAGCCGCATGGCCGATGCATCGGCGATGCGGCGCGGTCCTCCGACCCCAGCTGCTCAGAACACAGGCGGCGGCAAAGGGCGTCGTCGTCCTCGCAGTCGGCGTCATGCTCCCATATCTCCGACGATCTGAGGTTTGCTGCTTCTTGCAACCCAATATCCCCTCGAGAAACAGGCCTCTGTGTTTTCTCGATACCAGCCTCTGGGGCCCAGTATCGGGCCCACGGGCCATCAGAAACGGACCCGGGCCCCAAAAAAAGACCCTGGGGAAGCGGTCGGGACCTTTGGGGGCGCAGCTGCAAAAAAAACATGTTGGCAGATGTCTGGGCTCGTCGTCGGAAGTCTCGAGCATTGGTTGAATTCGTCTACCAGCTCGTCACCGTTCCACTTCTCGTCCAACTGGTCCTCCCTCATCCCCCAATTCCTCTTCCTCCTCCTCCACTTCCTCCTTCTCCTCCTCCTCCTCCTCCTCCTCCTCCTCCTCCTCATCCTCCTCCTCCCCATCAGTCACATCATCACCATCATCATCACCACCACCACTATCACAATCTCCAGTATCATGAACATCGGCATCGGCAACATCACCGTCACTAGCGACAATGTTATCGTTATCGTCATCATAAGCATCACAACCACCAACACCAACACAACCATCACTATTAGCACCATCATTATCACCACCACCACCATCACCATCAACATCAAAATCAACCTCAGCATCAGCATCATCACCATCATCCGATTCCAATTCCTCATGATCTTCCTCATCGTCGTCCCCTTCCGCACTCGCCTCCTCCCCGAGCTCCTCCAGATCCCCCTCGTCGTGCTCATCCTCATCATCCTCCCGTCGCCATGCACGTACATATACATATCCATGTTTGCATGTACACATGCATGAGCATAAGCAAAACATATAAGACGATACATAATAATGCCAAGAAGAGTACGGAGCAGGAAAGTCTCCACAAGCATGAACTGTCAGATGTCCGCGCGAATTTCTTGATCGGCACTGGACCCCTCGCTGGTGCGCGGAGCGTACAAGGGGCGGCGCCAGAGGCGCCGCCAAAGGTGGTCCAGCGCCGATTCAAGAAATCCGCGCGGACCCCCGAGTGTGCGTGTGTCTTTAGGCCATGCACTTGTCGACTGGAGTCGCCAGTGCGTCGGGGGCTCGTGCTTCCCTCAAAGGGGGGGGGACCACGACGGTCACGTTCTGCGGGTTGGTCATGCGGAACCTGGGCGGCGACGGTGAGGGCGAGAGAGGAGGACGGAAGGAGGAGGACGGAAGGAGGAGGACGAGGAGGAGGAGGAGAGGGGAGAAAAGGGGAGGAGAGGTGAGGAGATGGGAGGAGAAGGGAGGAGAAGGGAGGAGGGAGGAAGAGGGTACGGGACCAGAGTACAACCAGGTTGCATCAATGAAGCTGCTCCAATAGGCCTGTCAGTCTGGCCAGAGCCGCCAACCTGTAGCACCATGAATCGAATGATGAGTTCGGCGAGATCCCCATCGAAAACGAGCTGCTCCTGAGCTCGTGTGACTGGCTACAGTGAAGGGGCCCAGGGACACACGAATAGATACACGCGAACCCCAGGATTCCCCATGTGTTTCCAGATGTTTTGAATTTTCCTCTTCCCCCCCCCTTCCCATAGGTTCGCATATGTTCCTGGGAATCGACGATGCATTGTGTCTGTGTGTGTGTTGTTTCCCCTCCTGACTACAGATCTGACCACGGAGCTCTGAGAAGGTCAGACACGACAGCCCAGTGTTGAAACTAAGGAGTCGCCCTCCTTCCGTGCAATTGCTGCGCATGCGCACCGGTCTGCCCGTCCACTGGGCCTCGAGCAGCGTGTTGAAAAGGAGCCTCCTCCTCCTCCAGCTCCTCCTCCTCCTTCTCACAGTCCGCCGTTGAACAGTATTCGGCCTGACCTAAGGAACGATAAGTAAGGAACGAGGCCCCTTTTCTTCCAGGTGAGTCTACGAAGTCCGAAGGAACACCAGGGGGGCCTCGCCGCCAAAAAGGTGGGGAGGAGGAGGAGGAGATAAGGAGGAGGAGGAGGAGGAATGATCCTGTCTCTCCCACCACCTACCAAAACAGAAGCAAAAGCGGAACAAGCATCGAAGACATAATCGACACCAACACACATCAAGCAATGGAAATAGAAACGATGTTCAAACAACCAAAACAAACAGACACAAACAAACACTCCCGGCGGGCAGCCGAGAACATGCGGGCCGCGGGGCTGCTGTGCTGCGCGCGGCCCGCACAGCCCCTCTTCCTCCACCTCCTCGCTCTTCCTCGTCCTCATCCGCCTCGTACTCGCGCCGCTGCTCCTGCACCTGTCCACTCCCCCTCCTCCATCCACCTCCTCTCCCCCTCCTCATCCTCCTCCCTTTCCCCCTTCCTGCTTCTCCAGCTCATCATCCTAATCCCCAATCCTCCGCTACATCCGTCTTCCTGCTTCTCCTGAACCTCACCCTCCCTCCTCTCTCCTCTTCTCTCTCTCTCTCTCTCAACCTGCCTCCTCCTCGGCAAGATCGCAGAATCGCCCGAAGACATCTTTGAATCACATCGGAGAAAGCCCGAAACGTGTATTGAGACCTCCTATGCCTCCTCCGCTGGGGATCCGACGCCGTGAAAAAGCGCGGCCAGAGCTCTCGACCACATCTTTCTACAGTATGTCTCGAGCCGATCCATCCTTGGCCCACGATGAAGATAGTCTAGAGGCTGGCATGTGCAGGGCAGTCAGGACGAGACGCATCTAATGGTGAGACACCGAAGGGAACGCCTGTGCAACATCGAAAGCGGTGAATGCGGGCAGGTCCGTGCCTGCGGAAGGGGTAATCGAATGGCTACTGGCGCAAGCGTCGAGCTCAAATGTGTGAGCCCCTTGTGTAAATTCTCATTGGAGCACGTTCGCTTCTGGGCCCCAAGCTTTCGAGAAAGGAGATGTACCGATACCGCTGCTCCTCAGACCTCTCCGGGATGCGTTCTCGCCAGCCTCAGGTCCTCGCGGCGGGCCCCGCCATGGCGACAGGGCAGGGGCACGGCATCAGCATCTCCAGACGATGCCAGGATCGGGATACAACCGGATCGGCATGAGGCGTGGACCTCTGAGATCCGGCGGCTCTGGAGGACGTGTCGGGCGCCGCCGCCACTCCGAAGCGCTCTGGAACGCCCTGGACCGTCTGATCCCACGTGCGAGGGGCAGCGTGCGGGGGGAGGGCGCGTGCTGGGGGGGGGGGAGGAGGAGGAGGAGGAGGAGGAGGAGGAGGAGGAGGAGGAGGAGGAGGAGGAGGAGGAGGAGGAGGAGGAGGGAGGAGGAGGAGGAGGAGGAGGAGGGGAGGAGGAGGAGGAGGGAGGAGAGGAGGGAGGAGGGAGGAGGCGGAGGAGGAGGGAGGAGGGAGGAGGAGGAGGAGGAGGAGGAGGGGAGGAGGAGGAGGAGGAGGAGGAGGAGGAGGAGAGGAGGAGGAGGACGAGGAGGAGGAGGAGCGAGGATGGAGGGGGGCAGCGGCCTGGGAGGGTCCACGCTCGCCCTGGGCCCGAGACCCGTCCGGGGCCAGGAACGGGCCCTGGCAGCCGCCGAGCTGGTGCCTCCTCTCCGCGGCTCCCAGAGGTCCCCCGGCCGCTTCCCCGGGGGCAGCGTCTCGTCCTGGGTCCACCTCTGACGGCCTGGGGGCCGATCGCTCCAAAGCAACGCCCAGGTGGAAAAAAATACAGCGTACCGTCGGAGATCGGGGATGGGGGGAGGCGGGGCACAAGAGGTCCAGCGTCTTCCTCTTCAGGGTCTCGTCCGGGTCCTCCAGGCAGTCGACGACCACCATCTGGTGCTCGGCGGCGTACGACCTCGCCGGTCGTCGTCCTCCTCCTCCTCCTCCTCCTCCTCCTCCTCCTCCTCCTCCTCCTCCTCCTCCTCCTCTGACTCCTCCTCAACGTCCACGTCCACGTCGCTGACGCCCTCCTCCTCATCATCACATCACTCCTCCTCCTCCTCCTCCTCCTCCTCCTCCTCCTCCTCCTGCTGTTCCTCATCCTCATCCTCATCCTCATCTTCCCATTCATAGTACTACTCTTACTCGCAGGACCTGTTTTATGAGTATTAACCGTAGCCTCCTTATGATACCGCAGAAAAAAAAAACATCATAACATGTTTAGGGCTATAGGGCTCTGGGGCTATAGGGCTGTAGGGCTATAAGGCTATGGGGCTATAGGGCTATAGGGCTATAGAGCTATGGGGCTATAGGGCTATAAGGCTATAGGGCGATAGGGCTACAGGGCGATAGGGCTATAGGGCTATAGGGCTACAGGGTTACAGGGCGATAGGGCTATTAGGGCTATTAGGGCTATAGGGCTATTAGGGCGATTAGGGCTATAGGGCTATAGAAGTACAGGGCTATGGTGTTACGGGGCTCTAAGGCTATAGGGCTATAGGGCAATAGGGCTCCAAGGCTATAGAATTATAAGGCTATAAAGCCATAGGGCTATAGGGTTATAGGGCTATAGAGCTATTAGGGCGATAGCGCTATAGGGCTGTGGAGCTATAGGACTATAGGGCTATTGGGCTATAGGGCTATAGGGCTATAAGGCTATAGGGCAATAGGGCTATAGGGCTACCGGGCACCCGGACACCCAGGCACCTGGGCACCCGGGCACCCGGGCGTGCCGCCGGAATCTGCGCCATACCTCACCTAACTATATAAATCCGCTAGGACCCCTACAGAGGCAAGCTCCGATTGGGGAAAAATGTTAGTAGCGTGCCTCTGGGTGCAGACGGTCTGACGATGTCTTTCTCCCCTCTTCGAGGAGCCCTTCTTCCCCTTCGGGGAAGGGCTCATCAGTGTTCCCTATAAAAAACACCCCCTCCCCCACCTGGCCGGCAGCCAACCCGGAGCCATGAGCACACCATCCCCACCAACCCTGCCAAAAAAAATACAAAACGCACTCTGCCTCCAGATTCGGAGCATGTTGCCTGCTGCGCGCAGGGCTAACATCCCTGACAACACGCACACAATACAAAATGCACCTCGCGGCTAAATGTGGATAGTGCGCGGCCACCCCGCGATCATTGTCAAGTGGTTTTCGTCAGGGACGGCAGGGGTGGTGGCGTATGGCCTGCTGTGCGCAGTCCCACCAGACACAATGATGGGCATTGGTTTTCGATAGGGATGGATGGTTGGGGCCGACATGTTTCCCAATGTGTGCAGTCACGTGCGCAGGCGGACCTGACACACTCTGCACGTGCCGTGGGCGTGGCGCACCTGGCGCGGCTGGAGGGAGCATCTGGCGCATTAGGCGTGCCTGGCCGGCTCGGGCCCCAGGGGTGCCTGGCGCGCCTGGCGCGCCTGGCACGCGTGGCACACCTCGCCCCAGCGTCGCGCACATGGGATCGGTTTTGCTTCGCAGCAGCTGTCCATCAAAAGACGACCGCGGAACATGCTGAGGCTCGGGTATTACTTCTGTGAAATGCCGCCAAGACGGCCCAAAGAGCGCCCAAGATCGCGCCAAGGGCGCCCCAAGAGGGCCCCCAGAGGCGATTTCGAGGGCTCTTAGTGGGGTGCCTGGATAAAGAACCCCCCCCTTGTGATCGATGGCCTCCAGGATGGCCCCAGGAGGCCCTCCGAAGCCCCCAGGAGAGCCCCAAGAGGGCCCCAAGAGGGGCCCCAAGACGCACCAAAAGAGCCCCAAGAGGACCCCAAGACCCCCCAAAGAGCCCTACGAGGGCCCCAAGATGCCCCAAAAGAGCCCCAAGAGGACCCCAAGACCCCCCAAAAAAAGCCCCATAGCTCCAAGAAGGCCTCCGATGCTCCAAGATAGCCTCCAACATGGCTCAACACGTTCCTCCCCGGCCTCTCTTTGACCGCTCTGTTTCACTATATGCGTCTCAAGTCTCCATTTACCGTCAGCTCTCGTGGGCAGGGCTTCTGAATGGGCTGGCGGGGATTCGGGAAGCATAAACAATATTGTTTGCCTTACTCTGGGTTTTTTACTAAGCGTGAGGGGTACCCCCCTGACGGGGGTCGACCTCGCCTCGTCGTCGCGCCGCGACGGGGGTCGGAGCAATCTCGGCGCGCGGTGACTACCCGCGACGGGGGTAGATGGGGCTGTCGGCGGGGTTGACGCCCCCCCCGACGCTGATTAAGAAACTCGGAGCAGGTAGAAGTAGCATCGTTCTTAGCATTTTGTTGGCATTCCCAGTCGTAGTCACAGCACTAGTGCAGAAAGATGCGCTGTGCTCTCAGCTATCTCGTGTGACCTTGTCGTAGTGTCGGCATACCTGTCATTATGCTTACGAGGGGCGCCCGATCCAGGTGCGCAGTGCGCAGGCCAGTCGGAACGTTAGGCGGGGACTGGCCCAGAGGGTGTGGGGGGGCAGCCTCGGGCTGGACTCGGCGGTACCTCGACGACAGCTGTGCGGTGGGCCCCCGATCGCAAAACAGAGCTGTCCTGGGCGGGGTGGGCCGGCGGGCCCCTATCGGGGATATAGACGGGCGGTCGAGGGTCGATGCGTCACCCCCCCGAGGAGCCCATCCGCCCGCCACGCGCTGCTCCTGGGCACGCCGGTGCCGGGGCGAACCCGTGCGAGCCCGCGCGGGGAAGGGCACTCCGACGAGAGGCCGCGCCAAAAGGCAGCCGACGAGGGCCCCCGGAGGCGCCGGGGAGCCCGCGCCTGGCCACCGCGCACTGCAGCGGCCCCCGTCGCTCCGGCCTCGTGTGGGCGTGGCCGGGGCCCCCCTTTGGCGTGGCGGGGCTGGGCCTCAACCTTGTTTTGTTCGTGTTGTCTTCGTCCTGTGGTTCGTCCTGCTCTGCCCGTGCTCCTGCGCCTCCCCGCCAATAAACGAAGCACAGAGCACACAGCCGAAGTCCGGCGAAGCAGCGTTCGGGTCCAGCCCTGCCCCCCGGCAGAAGCTGCCGAGAGCACTCCACGTGCGCACGGCACCGCATGCCGAGCACACCCCGGCAGGGCTGCTGACCGACGTCCAGACACGACCGAATGCATCCTGCGAGCCGCGCGACGAATAGCGAAACCGCCTTGGGGACTGCACCCAGCACACTCGGATGCCAGCGGTTGTCTGACCTCGGGGCTCGAGGAGAGAAAAACAGGATGATCAGACAGCATGGGAATCTGGGGCATCGACGGTGGTCTCCTCCCTCCTCGACGCAGTGACTTCAGCCGATGTGATAACACACCTGATGATCGGCCCCCCGAAGAAGGAGACGGCACCGACAGAGTCGCGGGTCAAAATCACGAGGCGAGAGAAAGAGAAGCATGGATGGACTGGAAGAGAAGCAGAAAAAACAGCATGAGAAGACGAGAGAGAGAGAGAGAAAGAAAGAAAGAAAGAAACAAAAAGAGAGAGAGAGAGAGAGAGAGAGAGAGGACACGGAAACAGACACTGCCACGGACGGGCATGGGGGACAGATACGGGGGCGAGTCTCTGGCGGCACGCTGGAGCCCGCCCCTCATGGGTGGGCACCGGCAGCAGTGCCCACGACGCGCGGCCACAGAAGCCGTGCGACACTTCTGCAGCGGCGGCGGGCAGCGATGCTGCTCGGACCGCCAGCCTTGGCACTGGCCCGTCCGGGGGGGTCGGTGGCCACCCCAGCTCGAGACGCACTCCACCCAGCAGTCTCCAGGGGGCGGCGGAAAGGTGGGGTTGTTGGAGGCCTAGAAATTGGCACCAACACCAACACAGGGGGTTGCCTCCACATGGGGAAGATGATCCTAGATTTCGGTGGTGGTGGCAATATTTCGGTCACCTTGGAAGCCAGAAGATTACCACCATCACCGAGATGGGGATCTTCTTCCCTCGGTGGAGGCACGCCGCGGATCTCGGTGTTGGTGTCAACCTCGAGGCATGCGAGGTTGGGCCACAGGTGGGGTCAGTGGAAGATCGCGCCCGACGGTCCCTGGACAAAGGCACGCAGCAGCCTCAAGCTGGGTTCGTTCCGCCACCCCCCCCTTGGGCGAAACCTCCCTTCTGGGCACCCCCGATTGTCACGTCCTCAGGCTCCAAATTTGACAAGACATGGCCACCTCACCTCCTGACGGGACAACCATGCGGTTTGGCATAGAGAAGGCAGTGGGACGCGTTCACTTGCACGATCTGTGCGAGCCCCGTCACGCCGAGGTACTTGAGATTGTGGTTGTCACTGGAGATGAACCTTAGCGGGACGCGCGATGACGCATCTGAGGGCAGCTGCGCACTCGTGTGGCAATGGCAGGCATGCACGCTTACGCATGCGGAGGTCGGCTCTTTCTCTCTTCTCTGGTTTTTGTCTCTCTCTCTCTCTCTCTCTCTCTCTTTCTATGTATCTTTCTCTCTCTCTCTCTCTCTCTTTCTTTCTATATTCCTCTTCCTATATTTGTATAAGCCCGGGCGGGGGGAAAACCCCACACCCCACACCCCCAAAACCGGACTCCGGGGATCTGGGGCTTTGGGACCCTCCGGACGGGCCTCGAAGCAGCCCCCCGGGCCTCGCAGGGCGTTTTGCCAAGCCTTCCCAGCACACCTAGGGCGATCAGGGGGGTCATCGGAGACGTCCCAGAGACCCCCAAGACAGCACAAGAGAGCTCCAAGAGTGACCGACGTGACCGACGTGACTTCAAGATGACCCAAGAGGCCTCCAGGACGGCCCCAAAGAGGCCTCCAAGAGCACTCCCAAGAAGGCCCCAAGAGGCAAAAATCATTGATTTCCTGGTGGTTTTTGGTGAAGTTTGGGGTTCTCCTCTTTTCGGCTTCCCGACGCTCCACGACGGCGGTCTTCTGGGCGTCCGAAGCTGCCTGGGAGGCTCCGAAATCGCCCCACAACCATCCGAAAGGGCTTCCAGGCAATCCAAGAGAGGCCCAAAACGGCACAACACGGGTCCAAGATGGCCCTCAGAGAACCCCATGGCGGCCCAAGATGGCCCCAAGACACCCTCCGAAACATTCCAAATCGTGACCAGGTCGTTCAAGGAGATCGCGGTTGGAGGCAGGTTGGCCCGAGGAAGCCCCCAGAGGCCCCCAGAATACGCCCAGGAGGCCTCCAGAAGGCCTTAAGAAAGCCTGAGACAACTTTTGTGAGGCCCGCAGAGGCTCTAGAAGGAGAAGTTTCCGCAAAAAAGAGCTGAGGAGGATGGGGAGAATGCGCAGGGTATGGCGAAAATGAAGAAAAAGAAGAATGGAGGAAGGATAACGAATAACATTACTATAGCGAGGATGCCAGAAAAGGCAGCAAGGAGTTATCGCTAGAGTGTCGGCTTGACCTTCACGCTATTCCGCCTGCATGCCACACTTCAAGGACCAAGGTGCATGGCGCGAAGCGCCACTGCAGTCTTGTATATATACATATATATATATATATGTACACCTGGGTCCTGCTCCTCAAGCGACCCCGCCAGACGGAACTCAGACAACGAGGGAAACCTGTTCCCTTTGATCCCTTCCCCGGCCCTGGGGTTGGGGGGGCGTCCCGGGGGGGTGGGAGGGCACCCCCTCCCTGCCACCCCTCCCCTGCCTTCCCCGCCGGAGGGGGGCGGTCGCGAGAGGCGATCGCCGGGGGCGGTCCTGGGGACGGTCCTGGGGTCCTGGGGAGGGGTCCCGATGCCAACAGTACCCACAAGGACCCCCACGAGGGCTCGCGAGCGTCGTCGCCGTCGTGTTTTTCGTCGTCCCCCTTTGAGTTGGGCGGCACCAGCCGGAAGGCTGTCGCAATGACACACACACACACACAAACGAACAAACAAACAAACAAACAAACAAACAATCCAACACTGGACCTCCCCTCCCCATGACGACCTAACGCGCCTGGGAGTGCCCAGGAACGCCTGGAGCGCTTGGGCGTGCCCAGGCGAGAGTGGGGCCGCGCTGCAGCTCTCAAGCATCGCCGAGGGACTGGCCGGGAGCTCCCGCGGAGCCCCTGGCATCCTCAGAAGGCCTCGAGGGCCTATCATGGAAACAAAAAGAGCATACGCGTAACCCTCCAGGGGTCCGCGCGGATCTCTGGAATCGGCGCGAGACCCTCCCTGGCGCGCCGAGCCCGCCAGGGGTGGCGCTGGAGCTGGAGGCGCCGCCAATGGGGCCCCGCGCCGGACCAGAAATCAGCGCGGAACTCCGAAAGTTTATGGGTGCACAGCCAACCGCTATAGGTTCGGAAGGGGCTCGCCGTTCCTGGGGTAACTCCGTGGTTGTTCCTGTAGCCATCCTCGTGCACCCAGGCTGCTTCTGGAGCCCAACAGGGGCTTCGTTCCTTACCCCTAATGTTCAGTACAGCGGCAGCTTGACTGTACAGTTTAGAGGAGGAGGAGGAGGAGGAGGAGGAGGAGGAGGAAGAGGAGGAGTAAAAGAGGAGCGGGAGGAGGGAGAGGAGGAGGAGGAGGAGGAGGAGGGAAAGATGAGGAGGAGGAGGAGGAGGAGTGACCAGGAGTGACCAATCGGGACCCTGTCCCGTCCACGCGAGCCCCTGGCGGTGCTGGAGGAGCACGAGCCTCCGCACCACCATGGCGGCGCTGCTCGAGTGGCAGGAGGAGCACGAGCCTCCGCGCCACCGAGCAGCAGGCGGGACGCAGGAGGAACACGAGCCCCCGCATCCCGAGCGAATCCGCCTTGCGCCACGGCCACAGGAGGAACACGAGCCTCCGCGACGCCGAGTAGCAGGCTGGGTGCATGAGGAGCACGAGCCTCCGCACCCCGAGCTCGAAGACATGCAGCCTCAGCACCATTCGCGCTAGCTGCACGAGCTCGCGCACCGACGAGACGCCGAAGCCGCCGACTCTGCGGGAATAGCGGGCCCCCACCGCATGGTCCAGACGAGAACTGGACCGCTGAGTGCTTCTACAGCCGCCCCAGGAGGTCCCTTGGGTAGCACTCCTTCCTGACCGCCTCGAGGAGCACGTGCTCGGGCTGCCGAGCGCCCTGGAGCGCCAACTCGTTGAGCTAGGCGCGGGCCGCCACGAGCTGCTGCGACACCGAAACCGTCTCCTCGGCCCTGTCGTCGACGATACAGTCGGGAACCACCGCCAGCTGCAGCGAGGCGACCTCCTCGGCCATCTCCTCGTTCCCTTGCGTGGTCTTGCTGTGCCGGGCCTGCGCGTCGGCCTCCTGGAGCACCTCCCGCACCAAGGTCTTCGCGGAGACGCCCGACGACCTCGAGCTCCAGGCAGACCTCCTCGACTCCATTGCCCTCGACCTGCTTCTGGTCTGCGCCCTCGGCGCCCTGCTGCAGGCTGCCCTGTGGGGTGGCCACGGAGGTACTACTCGACTTGCTGGAAAGCCCCTCCTCGCACTCGCAGCTCTCCTCCGTCGGCCTCAGGGCGGCCCTCTCCTCGGACTTGCCTCCGCTGCGCTGCCTCCGGCTGGCCTCCCTTGCACTTCTGCGGGAGGCCGTCCGCGCCGCAGCCCATGTCCACGTGCAGGCCCGCAGTGCGCATAGCCTTCATTTCACCACTGAGGGCCTGCCTTGACCAGCTCAGTGAGGGCTGGCTCCACCACGGCCAGCCTGGCCTTGACCTCCTCGTGGACGGCATCGTGAGAGCCGTCGAAGGAGGTACGAACTGCGGCCGCCACCATCGCCGCAGCGACCTGGCGGGGGGCGCCGCCCACGGCCGCGCCAAGCGCCGCCGCCACGACGTGTGCCGCACTCGGATGGGCGAACACCAGACTTGCCACAGCATGGCAAAGATCGACCGTCGCCATGCCCGAATGCGCCTGCACTGTACGAAGGAGGATACGATACCAGGCAGAATGCTAAGAGCCATCTTTGAGCCAAAATGGCTACGGAAGGAGGAGTAGGAGGAGGAGGAGGAGGAGGAGGAGGAGGAGGAAGAGGAGGAGGAGGAGGGGGCGGAGGGGGAGAGGGAGGAGGGGGAGGAGGAGGAGGGGGGTGAGGAGGAGGAGGAGGAGGAGGAGAAGGAGGAGGAGGAAGAAGGTTCTTCTTCGATCTCGGGGGGGGGCCAGGCAGAGGGCGACGCGAGCGAATGCAAGTGCTGCGCGCGAAGACGGAGGAGGCGCCGCCCGCCCCCGCGCGTCCCAGGGAGGGGCGCGGGGGCAGCCCCGCCCGCCCCCGCAGCACAGCGGGCGCTCCGCCGAACGCTCCAGCCGAGAGAGGCTCGCGCCTGACGTCGGGACTCGTGCGCAGCCGCTGCCAGCAGCTGGCCAGGCCAGAACCGTCTGTACGCTCGCTGACCCTCATCGTCATCCTCGTCCTCATCATCATAAACACTACAACCACCACCGCAGCAAGTACTAGAGCCACCACCACCACCACCATGATCATCATCATCATCATCATCATCATCATCATCATCATCATCATCATCATCACCATCATCATCATCATCATCCATCATCATCATCATCATCATCATCATCATCATCATCATCATCATCATCATCATCATCATCATCATCATCATCATCATAATCATCACCATCACCATCACCATCACCATCACCATCACCATCATCATCATCATCATCATAATCATCATCATCATCATCATGTTCATCAGCATCAGCATCATCATCAGCATCATCATCATCATCGTCATCGTCATCGTCATCAGCATCATCATCATCGTCATCATCAGCAGCAGCAGCATCACTATCAGCAGCAGCAGCATCAGCGTCACCATCATAATCATCATCATCATCATCATCATCATCAGCAGCATCAGCATCATCATCATCGGTATCATCATCAGCCTCATCATCAGCAGCATCATCGTTATTAGCATCACCCTCATCATCATCAGCATCACCATCATAATCATCCTCATCATCATCATCCTAATCCTCATCAGCAACATAATCAGAATGAGAATCATCACCATCGCCATCATCATCAACATCATCATGGTCGTCGTCGTCGACGACGTCGACGTCGACGACGTCAACGACCTCGTCGTCATCGTCATCGTCATCATCGTCATCATTGTCGCATCCGCTTCCTCCTCGTCGTCATCCTGCCTCATCAGCCGTACCCTCGTCCTACTCAAACTCATTATCAATAGTCATTCGCCGCAGCGTCATCCCCATCATCGTCATCATCACCATCAATATCGTCGTCATCGCCATTCTCGTCGTGATCAACATGTTGCCCTCATCCCCCAGTCATCGTGATATAACTCCTGATGATCCTTCTCCACATGCTCGTGACCACCACCGCCAGCATCATCAGCACAAAAGTAATAGTCATCCTCAGCATCATAGTTATCAGAATCATCACCACTGTCATCATCCGAACCACCATCACCATCTTCATCGTCGTCGTCATCGTCGACGTCGTCATCGTCATGGTAATCATCATCACCACCACCAGCATCATCATCATCATCACCATCATCATCGTCGTCAACATCATCATCAGCATCAGCAGCATCAGCATCATCACCATCATCAGCATTACCATCGCCAACCGTCACATAATCATCAACAGCATTCCTCAACATGTTCATCATCACCACCATAGCCACGATCAACTTCGTAATTAACAACATCATCAGCTGCAGCAGCAGCAACATCATCAGCATCATCAGCATCGTCATTACCATCGTCTCGTCATCATCATTACCATCGTCTCATCATCATCATCAGAATCATCATCATCAACATCCTCATCGCCATCATCATCATCATCGTCATCATCATCATCATCATCATCATCATCATCATCATCATCATCATCATCATCATCATCATCATCATCATCATCATCATCATCATCAATCATCGTCATCAACATGGCCATCCTCATCGCCATCGTCATGTCTGTCCGTCCGCGTTCCTACTGTATGTTGTCTCCTCCGCCGAGCGCCCAGGACTGGACTGGAGCGCTCTCGCATGGGCAAACGGCCAGCACCCCCGCGACTGGGGGCGCGGCCGGGAGATGTTGGACGCGGCGACCTCCAGCAGCGAGTGATCCGGGTAGATCTTGGTAATGCACCTCGGCCGGCGGGGCGGGTGGCGCACGCGGGGGGGGGCACAGGGGCAGAGGGAGGGGGGGGTCAGCCTTCTACCGGGCACACGCGAACGCAGATTTGGGACCCGTGGGTTTCACGCGTGGGCGCCGGCTGCTCGGATCGGGGAGGGTACCCCCCCCGGAACCTGAAGCCAAAGCCGCCGGACTTGGCGACGGAGCGGGCCGACTCTGCACGGGAACGGGAACCGCCACTGGTCCACGCGACGCGCTCAATGTTTGCGGGTACCTTCTCAAAGAGGATCGACTAGAGCGGGTGCTCGCCGGACCCCGCCCCCATTTGGGGGGTTCGGGTCGGTTCGGTCCAATCAGGCTGCGGGCAGCCTACGCAATTGTTCGCGAATGCGCAGATCGGCGCGCGTATGTGCTCGCTAGATGAAAGCTCAACTGGGTCATCACGGTGGGAACTCCCGTCGTGGCGGTGCGCAGAGGGAGGCAGCCCGAGTGAACAGCCCTATCAGGAAGTAGGGGGCTCCTCAGAGGAGCTCGGAAGCCTCTGAGAAGGCTTCTCGGAAGCCGGGAAGGCTTCTGAGAAAAACCGTGCCCGCCCATAATGCTTTCCGCTCACCCCATCCCCGCTTGTCTGGCCGCAGTCCCAACCACCCCTTGTGCCTCTGGAGGTCAATCGAAGGTTCAGGAGGCCTCCAGCGGCCTGCGAAAGAGAGAAAAAGTACAAACGAACAAGAACCTCGATCACCGAGATCCTCTTCCTCAGCCTCCTCCTCCAGTCTCCTCCTCCTCCTCCTCCTCCTCCTCCTCCTCCTCCTCCATCCTCACTCCTCCTCCTTCCTCCCACTCCCTCCTCCTCCTCCTCGTCCTCCTCCTCATGCCCTCCTTCTCTCATCTCTCTTCCGCCTCCTCCTCCTTCCCTTCCTTCCTTCCTCTTCCTCCTCCTCCTCCCCCCTCCTTCTCCTCTTCTCCTCTCCCCTTCCTCCTTCCTCCTCTCCTCTCCTCCTCCTCCCCTCCTTCTCCTCCCCCCCTCCTCCTCTTCCTCATCCTCCTCCTCCTCATCCTGCTCCCTTCCTCCCTGCTCTCCTCATTACCCATCTCCTTCCCTTGCCTTCCCTTTATCCTCATCGTCCCCTCTTATCCTCATCGTGCGGCCCTCCTGATCCTCCTGGACGATTTTTCATTTCATATTTTCAGAATTGCAATACATCATCAGTCATCATCATCTCATTCATCACATTCATCCATTTTCATCATTCATCATTTTCGTCTCATTCATCATCAGTCATCATCATCATCATCGTCGTCGTGCGTCGTCGTCGTCATCACATGGGTAATCCAGGCCGGAACCCCTTGTGGGTCCCTAGGCGTGTGAGATAGTTCCCCCCCCTACAGTCCCCCCCCAGGGACCCCAAACTGGCGATTTGACCCCCCCCCATGGCCCCGCCCGAGCGACTCACGGAGCTTCTTGGGGCTCAAAAGTCTCTCAAGGCGGCCCAAGAAGGCCCCAAGACTCCTCCAAGACGGCCCACGAGGGCCCCGAGACGCCAAACGAACGCTCCAAGGCGCCCAAGATGGCCCCAAGACGGGCCAAGAGGCCTCCAAGACGGCCCATGAGGCCTCCAAGAGCAGTTCTCAGAAGGGCCGAAGAGCCGAAAATCTTCAAATTCCTATGGAAAACGTACATTTTGATCATATACGGCTTCTCGGCCTTCACGGCGTTGAACACGGTCCAAGAGCACCCCAAGACCGCCCCAAGACGGCCCAAGAGGCCCCCAACACGCGCCCAAGTCCGCCCAAGAGGGCGCCAAGACAGCCCAAGAGGCCCCCAGGACGGCCCAAGAGAGCCCCAAGACGGCCCCAAGAGGGGCCCAAGAGAGGGAGCCCGAACTGACATCCCGAGCCTTCCGCCCCGAGACGGCCCTAAAAGGCCCCGAGAGGCCCCAAGAGGCCCCCAAGACGCCCCCAACAGGCCCCAAGAGGCCCCCCAAGAGGCCCCAGAACGGCCCCAAAACGGCCCCCAAGAGGCTTCGAAACTGCCTCCAAGAGTCCCGCGAGAAGCACCACCAGAGATCCCAGCGATCATCGCACAAGCGGGATTCGCGCTCCCGAGGCGAAGAATTCCAAAACCATGACCCAGAACATTTCCTCCGCGTCCCCCTCCTCCTCCCCCTCACCCGCCTTGTCCACGTCGGCCCCCCAGTGGCGTCAAAACTGCTTTCCAGAGGCCCCCGAAAGGAGTGCCGCGAAATTCCGATACACATACAAGAACCTCTCACCCAAAGACCATAACCCAGAGCCTCCTCTCAGTGTCCCCCTCATCCTCCTCCTCAACCACCCTCTCCTCGTCCCCCTCCTCCTCGTCCCCCTCCTCTTGTTCATGGCCCGTCACCTCGACACGTTCGATGATTCTCCCCTGTGTCCTCCGCCTCACCCCCCATTCTCCTGTCCTCGTTCTCCTTTTTCCTCAGCGCGCGCGCCCGATTCGGCATCATTTGCAGGTCTTGCACTTCAGAGTGCCTTTTTTTGCGTCGCGCGGGACATTGTGAGGGTCGGGGAACGCCGACTTCGGTAGTCTTCTCTTGCACGCGCCGCTGCACTGATACGCCTGGCAACTGCGGGCTGTGAACCCGAGTGCCGCGCAGCTTCCGCACACCACCTTTTTTTGATTCGACCATCGATGATGTTCTTTTTGGCTCTGCCTCAAATGTTTCGTGTCTGAGAACGCTCCTCCGCACGCCGCGCACGTCAGCGGCTTCGCTTCCGCCTC